CCACTTGCAACCTATCGGTCTCATCTCATCTAGGAGTTCCACCAAATCCCAAGTGTCGTTCTTATGCAATGACTCAATTTCTTCCACCATGGCCTCCATCCGTCTACCTTTCTCCTGGCTATTTACTGCCTCTTTAAAGGTAGTAGGATCACCATTGCTGGCAATAAGTGCATAAGAAATTAGGTCTTCAAAACCATACCTTGTAGGTGGTTTGATATTACGCTGGGGTCTCTGTGTAATAGAACTGTGATGCTTCTAGTTTGCTGATCTAGAACCACATGACCCCTGGATGGGGTTGTTGCTATCAGAACCATCTAACTCCATTTGCACCACTTGTCTCTTGTTGTTATCTGCTTCACGTTTCTCATCCTCCTAAAAAGCCTAGAGCATGGATGCTTCATCAAACACTGCATCTCTACTGATCAACAAATTCTTACACTCGAGGTTCCAAAACTTGTACCCTTTCATACCTTTCTGGTAGCCAAGAAATATACACTTCTTGGACTTTGGATCAAGCTTTGACCTCTCATCACTAGACACTTGTACATAAGCAGGACAACAAAATATTCTTAGCCCAAAATAATCAACTTCATTACCTATTCAAACTTCCTCTACAACTTTCTCATCTAGTGCTGCCCGTGGAGACCTATTGATGACATAAAAAGTCATACTACTTTTGCCCAACAACTCTTAGGAAGCCTTGCATTTATCTCAAACAACTTGTTCTTTTTACAGTAGTTATATTTGCCCTTTCTGAGACACTATTCTACTGTGGTATCTTCTAGACTATAAAATGCCGCTGAATACCCTGTTGCTCACAATATTTCAGAAACTTTGCATCTGTGTACTTTGTACCATTATGTGATCTAAGATATTTAATCTTCATCCCAGTCTGATTCTCAACTTCAGTTTTCCTAATCTGAAATTGCCAAAGGTTTCAGATTTATGCTTCAAGAAGTAAACCTAGACTTTCCAAGAGAAGTCGTCTATGAAACTGACAAAGTACAAAAGATCAATCCTTTGACCGCTCCGTGACTGGCCCTCAAAAATCATAATGTATTGTTTCCCAAGAACACAATACTTGCAAAAATCTAGCTTGCATGATTTTAAACCCTTCAACAAATTGCTCTTGTGAAGCTCCATCATGTCCCACTCACTTTTATGCGCCAAACGTATACGCCATAGGAATGCATCATTTGTCTTAGACTCTGCTACAACAACTCCACCTATTACTGTACTCCTAATAGCCTATAGATGTTACCGGTAATTTTCTAACCCTTCATCACTACCATAGCCCCCTTCGTGACACTTATGACTCCACTTTCTGACCTATAACAATAGCTATTTGAGTCTAGAGTACCCAAAGAGACTAGGTTCTTTGTTAATTTTGGTACATGCCTAACATCACACAAGGTTCTCATGATGCCATCAAACATTTGAATTCTAATAGTGCCTATCCCGATGAGCTTGCATGACGCATCATTACCCATAAAAACAAACATAGAATTAACCGACTAATAAGTGCAAAACCAATCCTTGGAACACTCTGTATTGTAATGTCATATTTGGTGGCACTTAAAACACTTGATATTCTTCTTGTTATTTCCCTTGGACTTCAACCTCGAATTCCTCTTATCTGAACCCCTTTCTTTCTTTTTACCATGATCCTGGTTACCCTTCACTACTAGTCCTTCGCCTTGAGAACCATCGCTGTTACTCAATCTGCGCTGGTTGTAACCTAACAAGGCCGCTATGATTTCCTCTAGATCTAGGGTTTCTTTACCCCATAATAGAGTGGTTACCACATGTTCTTATAAAGAAAGGAGAGACACTAATAACATCAGTGTCATATCTTCATCATCAAACCTTACATCAAACCTTAATAAATCACTGATAATTTGATTAAAAGTATTGATGTGTTGAACCAAATCTGTACCTTCCAACATCTTTAGCCCATATAGCTTTTGCTTAAGGAACAATTTGTTCGTTAGGAATTTTGACATATATTGACTCTCCAATTTCAGCCATACAATCGCTGGAGAATTATGATCCATAACGTGGCACATAACCTCGTCTTCCAAACAAAGCCGAATAGTTCCAACTGGTTTCTTCCCAGTTAAAATTGGACATACCCACTGGTTTTTTCTCCTTTACTCTTTGTTTCCATAATTCAAAATTCCCAAAGCCGTCAAACATCATCATATTGAATTTTGTAATCAAAGTATTCATCGCCATTGTTAAGCCATAGCTTTGATACTAATTGTTGTGATTTTTTATGTCGATGAACAATCAAAGAAACATAATTAACTAGAAGAAAGAACACAAGATTTTACATGGTTTGACAACTTGCCTACGTCCACAAGAGAGTGACTGCCTTGTTTTTATTCCTCACCAAAAGTAGGATTACAACTTAACTTATAGGATACAACCCTAATTAGGGCAAATCCTGAAGGTATGCACCCTTTGACAACTGGCCCATTATCCTCGAACTAGTGGGCCTCTCCATAAATTGAGTATGAGCCACCTATTCTAAGACCCAGTATTCGAACCGGTTTAACAACAGGTACCCAATATTCATGAGATACTTTTCCCGAACCCATACGTGTTTTTGTGGGTCTTACTGTAACTTGTTAGTTTGAAAATATCTATACCCATATTTTTTCACCACCATGTGCATTTTGTGTCATTGCTTATCAACCTACTTCGATTTGTCTAGATGTGATCCAAGCAGGTTCAAGTGCTTGAAAAACATATTTACTGAAACAAATATGATTACCTCGATAAGATATTCCTTTCATTCTTCCTCTATGTTGTTTATGGAATCTATTTTTTTTGGGTTATAGTTGATGGTTGTTTCTGAATTCCATCTATACTATAGAACTGGACATGAGGGTTTCTTCTCATCCAGCTCCTTCTAAATAAAATAAAAAAGGATGAAAAATATTTCATTTGAATTTCTAATTTATATAATAATTTATATTATATAACATTTTATAATTATAGGTTTTTTTTTTATAAATAATAGCTAATTTATCTTTTCAGAATTCTTCATAATGTTGTCTTGAATCAATCTTCTTTGGATAAAAGATGATGGATTCTTCATTCATCAGGAGAGTTTTTTTTTTTCTAAATTGCTCTTTGAATCATTGTTGGATAATCATTTCTTTCCAAGCTGAAAGTCCTCATTTATGATTTGGAAATGTAAGGCATCTTTAAAGGTTCAAGTATTTGCATGCTTTCTTGCACATAAGAAACTGAACACCAATGCAATGCTTCAAAAAAAAGAAGGCATTCGTACTCTCTTCACCCACAATGGTGCATTCTTTGCAAGAAAGATGCAAAGCATGTGGATCATGGTTCTTACATTGTTCCTGGTATCTAATCTATGGAACATACTTTTGAAGATTGTGGAAATTTCCTTGGATATTTCCAAAAATCTGTAATTTGGTTTTCTCAATTGAGTATGAGGATTTTGGTTTTAGCAATAAAGCCAAGGTCTTATGGAAATGTGTGGTCTTTGTTTTGGGTGGTAAGGTTGAAGAGGTGCGGGAGGATTTTTGATGATTTGGAGTCTCCTTGAGAAGATATTTGGGATCAAATATCATTCTGATATTCTCTTTGGGCTTTAAACGTCAAAGGAGTTTGAAGGGATGCCATTTTTTTTAAGTAAGGACCATTGGACGGTAGTGCGAGAAGAGTGTTAATTCATGACAACACTTCTCTTCTTTAGTCCTTTATTATGTCTTCTAGTACTAGCTAGTTTCCTCTTTTCTCTTTGTATAGTGTAGAGGACTCCTTGTCTAATGTATCTTTTCATTTTTTTTATATTCATACTAAATATGTTTCATATTAAAAAATGGATTCTACAAAATTTAGTTCGACTTTAAATTACTGGACCTATCCAAATATTATAGATATCATTAAGTGGTATTTGTAAACGACGACAAGAAATCAACAAGGCTTTCTACTTTTGCTTTCCTTGCGTATTCATTTTATAATTTCATTAATGTTTATACCATTGTCAGGCTTTGCACTATCTAATGAGGTTGCAAACTGAGTACACATGCAACCTTCTAAATATTGCACGACATACTGCATTTGGATGGGAAGCTGCGAAAATTTGTTGCATCTCCCATTGAAAAATTGCAAGAGATTGATTATTTTGAACCTTGTTTCCTGTACTTTTTGGAGAGGACGGTGAAAGTTAATACCTGAAATTTCATGTTAGTCCTTGTTAATCAAATGTTCCTTTGCTTTCTGAGCTTCTGAATGTCCATTGAATCAGTTATGCAAACTGACATTATATTGTTTAGAATGGTAATGCCATCTTTATTCTTCATTTTGTTGTGATCACTGTTATCCCCTCATTTTGGTGTAAGTTTTTTAGCCTTGAAGTGTAATGGTTCTAAAGAATACAGTATACTTTACTTGATAGGTTGTTCTAACCAGATCTATTTCTGGATTAGGTTCTGTTTATTTGCATGAGAAGGCTAACATAACATCATTTTTTCACGGGGGAATATATTCTTGTGAAGCTAAATTGATAGCAAGATATTTATCGTGGTGTCTACTTCTTGTGGACCTTTTATAAAACTCCTTTAAACTTGTATGTCAATTTATTATGTATTTAAACTTATTTAAACATTTTTTGAACCTTTTTTTAAGGTAAGTAACATTTTATGAAGCTTATCGTAGTGGAAAATCACTTTGTTAAGGATGTACATAGGACTATCAGAGCAATCCTGAATTTTCCCCCCGTTTCTATGCAATGTAGTCTTCAAATAAATAGCTTTTGTGCTGTATTGAATTGCTATCGTGACTACAATATTTGTCTGAAACATAAGCATAATAACTTTCTGAGGCTTGAAACCCCACACGTAAGTAGAAAATGTTCTCTTCTACAGGATGTTAGAAACAAATCTAAATATGAGATTGAAGAATTTGTATGGTCAAGCCATAAGCCATGGATGCCTAGGCAACTGTTAAGCATGCATGTGAGAATGGGAGACAAGGCAAGTGAAATGAAGGTTGTAGAATTCAAAGACTACATTCAACTTTCTGACCACATGGGAAAGCGTTTTCCTCATCTTAACGACATCTGGCTCTCCACTGAAATGCAGGTTTTGTATTGTCTTGCACTACTTTTATTCTTTTCTTTTTCTTCCTTGGAATTTAGTTTTTGCTTATGGTTTTAGGCTTTAGGTGGCTTAAAAATTGTGTTATTTATCTTCAGGAAGTCATTGACAAATCAAGATCGTACTCCAATTGGAAAGTTTACCGCACAAATGTGACACGAAAAGTGCCGAACACGACAATGGCAACTTATGAAGCTAGTCCTGGGAGGGAAACCAGCATCAATTATCCTCTTGTTAACTTCTTGATGGCCACTGAAGCTGATTTCTTCATTGGAGCATTAGGTTCTACATGGTGCTTTCTCATTGATGGAATGAGGAACATTGGAGGGAAAGTAATGGCGGGGTATTTGAGGTAGGGAGTTTTGGAAATCTCCTAGCTTGGAGTTATTTGGGACAACCAATGGCTTGGCACTTCAGTGTGAACAAGGAATATATATTCAGGTCGTTAAGGACACATGTTGTCAACATTCATTAACAAAATTCTGCTATGTGAGGTGGTAGATATGACCTGTGAATATCCAATACAAGATGTAAGAACTATTTCCTGCACCTATAGAATTTGATATTGGACAAGAAAGACATGGTATCGTTGCCACATTGAATATTTACTCGTGAAGGTTGGTTCTGCCAAAGAGTTGCACCTTGTCAGATTTAGTGTTTATTAAAGTATGAAATTAGGGTAAATGAAGAGAGAAAGGGAGATAACTGTGTGTATGTTTGGCCCCAGGCTGCCTCCCACACCCACTATATATCTATCTATGTAAAAAGATTACCAAGACCAATACACCCCTTTGGAGTATACTTATTACAATAATACCCAAACCCTAATTTATTTTAACCCTCCCTCAAGCTTGTGAATATATGACATATAATCCCTACTTGGAACAAATTGTTGTTGGATGAGTGCGACTTAAAGGCTTGGTGAATATATACTCAAGTTTTTTCTTAGACTTTACAAATGGTGTAATAATATCTCCACTTAGTATCTTATCCCAAACAAAGTGACAGTCAACTTCATTGTGTTTGGTTTTCTCATGAAAAAGTAGATTAGTAGCAATATGAAATATTGTTTGATTATGATAGAACAATTGCATAGGACGTTTAACCGAAAATTTGATATCCTGAAGAAAGTATTGTAACCAAGTTAATTCACTTGTAGGATATGTCATTGTTCTATACTTAGTTTCTGCACTAGATCGAGCTACCATGGTCTATTTTTTACATTTTCACGAAACCAAATTACCCCTTGAAAAAGTGCAATAGCCCGTAGTTGACCTACGATCTGAGGGGGATCCAACCCAGTCAGGATCTATAAAACCATCCACTCTAAGATGCCCATTTGATCGGTGCAACAATCCAAGTCCAGGAGCCTGTTGAAGATATCAAAGAATCTAAATAAAAGCATTCTAATGCGGTACTCTATGTGCTTCAATAAACTAACTCAACACTTACTATATATGCAATATCAAGACGAGTAATAGTAAGATAATTCAACTTCTCAACCAATATACTATACCTACTCGAATTGTCAAATAGTGCACCATCATCTACCAAAAGTTTTTGATTTAGATCTATATTTCATCTACTGGTATAACATCTAGTAAACCTATTTCTTTTAGCATATCATGTACATATTTTCTTTATGACAAGCTAATACCTTGCATAGACCTAGCAATTTCGATACCTTGCCTAAGACTTTAGTGTGAAATCGATGCAATAGAAACGCTTGCCAATAATGACAATATTATCCACATAAACATTAAGTATAATGCAACTTGAATTAGTGGATAACTGAGACACAGAAGAAGAAAAAATAGGAGATATGGCATCATAAGAAATAAAATAATTAATAGGATGGTTAGTAACACATAATTGAGTACTTTTATAAAGAGAAATATGTAATAAGTCTAAAAGAACAAAAGGACTCGAATTAGAGGACGACAAGGAAGACGAAGGGGCACTTCAATAGGTAGTCTCTGTTTCCAAGAATACATCCTCAACAAAACTATGAAAGATGATAATGGTGAGGTAGAAGAGGTGATATGGTTGGGATAATAACAAATGGCAATGGAATAGGGGCCGAAGTCACGAATGGAGTGAGCCCAAGGTTGAGATTCGGATAAGAAGTGACACCCGATAAATATTGTGGACTCGCAAAATATGACATCGTTACTAGTACGATGAAGTGAAGGACTGTAACAATGATAACCTTTCTAGACTCGCATAATGTGAAAGTCAATATTGTAATTCTTGACAAAAGTTTGATCAGCCACGAAAAAAAGAGATCTCCTTTTCCCCCCAGCTCTATTCTCATCCCTTCTCCTTAAATCCCATCATTCACATATTACAAAAAGATCTCCTCTTTGTCTACCTCTCTTCTTAAATCCAAACCCTATTCCTCCATACCCTAACCCTAGCCATCTAATCGCTAGCACTATAGTCTCTTTTCATTTGAACCTCATCTGCTTTATATCAAATCTATGAGGAACATTGGTTGTTGATTTGTTTTTAGTGACCAGAGGTTCCTCTTTATCAGGTTCACCGATTGATTTTTTTTCTTTCGTGAATATTCGATTGAATCTCTCTGTATGGAAAAATAACCCTAGCTTTTTTCACATATCCTTGGCTATTGATTAGCGATCGTCGAGTGATTAGTCGTTAGAATCAGCATATCACAATGCCTTTTTAGGACTAATTATATTTTGATGGAGTTTACATGTTGGTATTTCAGGACATAAATTGTACAAGGGACTAAAAGCAATGAATACCACACTTTTGTACAACACCTGCATATTTTGGAGCAAAATTGAAAAAGCTTGGACCAAGCCAAGAAGGAAAACACTGTGGTACTTGAGTACCACGTTCGAACGCCAATTAACATTCGAACATCCCCTTTGAATTAATTGAGGACCAGGATGTTGAGTGCAAAGAGTCAAGTTGTGCATGGAGTATGGAAGTGAATTTCATAGAAGACCACAGACTACTTGAGTGAGAAGAAGCTACAAACTATTGAGGTGCCAATTATCAAAGCTACAAACTACTGGGTGTCAATTATCAAAACTACAAACTATAGGGGTGCAAATTTCAAAGCTCAAAATAAAGGGGGATCAAAGTGTAATTCAAACTCTCCCTTTTAACCTATAAATACCACCCCTTGGGTCTTGTAAAGAATTGTATCATCTTTCTTGTAGAGAGCATCTTTTGGTAGTGAAAACCCTCTAAAAGTCATTATTATTTTCTTGTATCATCTTTCTTGTAAAGAGCATCTTTTGATAGTGGAGAACCCTCCAAAAGCCATTATGGCTTTCTTGAAAAGAGTACCTTTTGGTTGTGGATAACCCTCCAAAAGTTATTATTGCTTTCTTTTAATTTATTGCTCTCTTTTATTGTATTATTAATTTTTTTAATATATTGCTTCTTTTATTGTATTATTACTTTCTTTTAATTTATTACTTTATTTTATTTGCATTGTTGTGAGCTTCCTTCTTCCTTTAGAGGAGTGAAACTCTTCCACTTTTCTAGAGTTTTACTAAAGCCGTGAAGGGTGGAACGTGATTCACTCATTTTTTGTCAAAGATTGACTCCGTGTGTAATATGTTTAATCTTGCAACTCCTCTACTTGGAGGGATGAGCATCACTCACTTTTTTAGCTTTATTAAAGCCATGAAGAGTGGGTAGTTTCTCATCCAATCTTTAGTAAGAGGTGATTATCCAGAAGTTATATTTGTGCATTTAGTTTATGCTTAGCTCTAGTCTTTATTTCTTCATAATGTCTTCTCAATACATTGTTGTCTTTACCTTAAGCATGAGTAGCTAAGCCCTTAAGTTGGCTAGTCCAAGAAAGACCTCCTTTTGGTTATTCCATTTCAACTCATTTTTCTTTCTCCTCTCAGAGTACAATGGTTCGGTTTGACTAGGTAGAGGGTGGACAGGATTGTGAGTCTTTGATATCCCGTAGACTTGTCACGGGTTATGCTTGGATCCTCACTTCCATCTCGTTCCTAGCTTTCCATGAATCAATCGTACATCTATGCTCTATTGGAGGAAGGATTCAAGTTGACGTGGTATTCCCATGGGAGTGAACCCTTTGGATTAACCAACATATTTCCCATTCCAATTTCATTAAGATAAAATCACAAACCAAACTTCAACAACAAAATATTTTACACTTTATTTTTCACCAAAATCACCTTCAAAATGATTCATGTCCTTCCCTGAGAAGACAACCTTGGAATACGATTCCAAGTAAAACATGGCAAGCAAAAGTCTCACTGCTTTTGGGGAGCATTTTTGTTCACACACACACATTTGACATTTTATTCATCCACCGTTCCATTGCCCTTTCTTTTGACATCATTCCAAGGGAGAGTAACACTCCCCTTCACACACACTATACATACACTAAGGGATGATGTTTAGAGGTTAGGATATTACAACGGCAAAAGTCAAGCATCGAGTGCATCACTTGCTCCTAAATTTTGGTTCTACCAAATAGATGAACCAAGCACAAGATCTGTGGAAAACCCTTCCACTTCGAAGCCATCTCTAAAATCAAAATAATCTACAAAGCTGAGCCTTAGGAACTCCAAGGTTCTCTTCCCCCCTTCTTTATTTGAATATATAAAGGAAGGCGTGTTAACGCTTTCATTTTCAATAAAGAACACATATTGGCTTAACTAATAAGATAGAAAAGGGCTTTTTCAAGTTAGTCTGCTATAGCAAACCATTAGTAGGGTGCCACGGTTTGTGGGCTTGAAGGACTTAGCATCGTGACAAGTTGTATCAAAGCCAAAGGTTAGGCCACCTTGTAGGCTAGTGCCGTCGAAGAGGCTTGACGGGTGTGGACCTGTAATTGTGTATCACCTTATATATATATATATGGTAAATGTCTTAATTCAATTGTTTGTTTATACTGTTATTGGTCTTCATTTGATCTCTCATTCACAATTATATAGAATTGAACTTTAGAACAAAGAATTGTTAGCTATGATATGAAGAAAATAGGTTTTTATTTTAATGATTGGGCACTGTTTCACAAATTATTGGACTACATTTTCTATCTTCTCTTAAGAGGTAATTATAGAGTTGAGAAATTCTCGTTATTGACACATGTATATAAATTCTAAGACCTAGTATTATAATTAAAGAATGATAATATCGTCATAAGATTTTTCCTAAGATGAATAAAAGGATAGTAGAAACATTGAATCATTGTTGAGAGAATGATCATAAAGTTTGAGTTTTGGGTGTCTTGAGTTTCGGATTAAATATAGTTTTTGGAGGTGTTTAAACTTTAGAATGGTGGTTAGGTAAGCTTTTGAATGTTTTTAGATCAAAATAAGACTAACATTTAATC